AGCCAGAAGGGTTTTTTGAAAACAAAAATAAAGGGGAAAATACAGTCTCCACCCTTCCACCCATTTTGGCCAGTAAATCAAATAAAACAATCTCGGAGCTGGCACCACAGGAGAAGCGAATGCCAGCTCCCAGCCTCTCACATGAGGTGTCGAAATAAAAGGAGATGAACAAACAACCCCCAGGTGCCTGGGGGCTGCAAACTGTTTTTAAGATGCTGGTGGGTTGTTTTTCCTGTGTGGTGGTGGGAGCAGACCCCCACAACCACCCCATCACCAGATAAGTGGCCCCCATAGCACTTGGCTACCCCTGGGCCATGGGCACATGTTGATTTTGGCTCCATGAGAAGGTCTTCATGCAGAAATGCATGTCACCACAGATGATTTTTATGGGCATCCTGGCGTGGGACAATGCAGCCAGTGACTAACAACATGGTGAAGGGGACATCAGGCTCATCTATCACCTCAGATGTGCCCAGCAGTTTCAGGGAGCCTTGCAAGGATAAGCCTGGTGCCAAGGTACCCCACTGCAGCTGGAGCCTCTGCCCTGGATGGGCACTCTTGGCCCAGGCATGTTTGATTACTGTGACTAATGAGTCTTTAGAATACGGGCTGAAGGGATTGAGGAGGGGGGAGGGACTGTTCAGTGGTTTTCCAGTCAAAACTCCCCTACTTAGAGCTATGTACGCTCAGAGGTGGCTCTGGGTTTGCCATGAACAGACCTTGTCATGGGTGCAATAAAGATTTTTGCAAAATTTGTGAGGGGGTTCGTGTTCTCCCCTCTATAAGGAAGATCATACCACAGCTGCTTCTTCACCTTTCCTGTGGTCCAGTTACAGCACCATGAGCAACTGGGAGATGCTTTGCAGGGCATTCACAAACTTCTTCACGGCTTCTGCCTCAATGCAGCCAAATCAACCACTCTCATTGCTTGCACTGGGGCTGCCCAAGGCACATTGGTGGAAAGTAATGGCCTCATATCTCACCAAAAAAACCCCAGGGACCAGCCTTTAACCTGGTGCTTTCAGGCGACAAGGGGCGCAGAAGCACTGCAAGGAGGGGATGGTGGCGCTGGGCTGCACTGAGGTATCAGAGACACTCCCGGCGCTGCGGGGAGCAGACGGGCCGGTCCGATGCAGTGTGTTACCCCTGAACTTGGGACCAAAACCACCCCAAGAGCATTGCAAAAAAAGCCATGTGTAATAAAAGGGTATTTTTCCCAGTGTTTTTCCCCATGTGCCTCAGCTGTTGGGCTCGCATGCAAGGCCGTGCGGGAGCTGCTTATCAGCTCGGCCCATCTCGGCAGCACACTGACGGTGCCGCTGCCCATCTCTGCTCTTAATCTCATTACAAATAAAGGAGGGGTAAAAGCTAAACTGAGCTCATATATTAATTCCCTGTGCCCTGCCCTGCTCAGCTTCAGGAAATACCTACTAAAATTGCCAATCTCGTTATCCAAACCATCCCTGGAAACCATAATTATTAGCTGCCTTGCTCCTTTGCCAAGCGTGTCCCCTCGCCATCCTGGCTCCGTTTTGCCCACAGGGCCCCCACGGTTCCTGCTCGTGCCAAGGTATGCACTGCAGCCACCTGCACCTGCACCCTCCCACCTGACCACGGCTGAACCCCCTCCCCTGAAGTTCACCAATGCTCTTACCCAGAAACAAGGTGAGGGTGGCCAGGCACCTCTCCGAGTCACCCTGTTTTGCTTCGTCAAGTTCCTGTAGCATGCTGGACTTATTTTTGGTGGGGTTAGATGGTGGCCAGGAGGCTGGAATATGTTGACATTTATGACTTTTTTTTTTTTTTAACGTATAACAAAGTTTTGCTAAATGAGAAGGAAACAAACTCGGTGCCAGCTTTCACCATGTGTTTAAAACAAGATAAAAGTAATCCTGGGCAGGCCGTGGTATCCACTAGAGCTGTGGAGAGAGCAATTTCCACTGGGGAAAAACAGACAGGTTACCCACACACGCTACATTATGCTCCAGGAAGATACTGGGATGCCCTGTTGCTCTCAGTGGCATCTATTGCACCTGTCCATGTGGATCCTGAGGCTCAAAGTGAAGACAGGGCTGTGCTTGGGGTGAACAACAACATGGGATCTGGCCCTGTGCATGGCTACACTCCATTGGTTCTGGTGCTGTTGCTGGCACCAAGGCATCTGATACATGGGACCTGGGTGCCTGCTGAGGAAATGTAGTGATGGGAGGAGAAGCACACACATATATATGCCCATCTACACCTGGCAAAGAGCACAGTGTTGTGGGACCTGGCCAGAGTCATACCCCAATGTACAGACAAGCAGGAACATTTCCCACAGGAAAAGGTGGCTCTTATAGTGGGGTGTGGGCAGAGGAGCAGTTGTGGAAACAAAAGACTTCTTTCCTTTTTTAATATAGTTCTTCCCCAAAGCAGGACTAGCCCATTTTTATCTCACTGCCAGCGGTTTTGTTCTTTTTCCCCCTAGGCTGGGCAAGGGTGTGGATAGGAGGAAACAACTCTTTTTTTTTTAATGACAGTTTTTTCATGGGAAGATGTTCCGCTGCCTGTGAGTGCTCAGTTTGGCTCTGCCCAGGTTTAAGCAGGAGGGATGAGCAGTGCTCAGTGCAAACTCCATCTCCTTCCTTTGCCCACATCTTCTCCCCAGCCAAGTTGCTGCAGCTTGCAGGCAGCCAGCAGCTGTAATGCAAAGCTGACAAACCAGTGCAGGCTCTGCTCCCACCCATGACTGCAGTGCCTCCGAGGTGGGGACATCCTTGCTCAGGGGCTGGCCTGAGAGAAGTTGGTGGGGATGGTGCCACCCAAATTGTCCATCACCAGGTCAGAGAACAAGCAGCAGGGTGGGGACACAGCAGGAGGACGCAGCTGCGGGGTGGGATGGAGTGGCAGCAGAAGAGGTTTTCAGCTGATTGCTTGCAGGGCTTGTGGCTGGGGCTCCAAGGGTGATCAGAGCTGCTGTATTTTGCTATGTCAGTCTAGAGGTTGGGAAATAAAGCTGACATATAAAGGAGTCCAATTGCACGATGTTTTATAATTTATCACGCCCCACCTTGGAAATAACAGAGATTAGTCATCATCCAGTGGAGTTGTAGGAGACTGCCTTGTCCACATGGCCCAAAGCCTCCACAATATTGGTGAGGTTCAGTTGCTTAAAATTAATGCCTTAGAAAGTCTCTTAGGCTAATGCCTATGGAATGTCCAGGTTTTATTAGATTGTAGCCACCAGACATAAAGAGCTTTAGGTATTTCAGTCTTGATTATAGATTCAGGAATTTGTAAATACCCACAAGTTTTATTTTCAGGTGAGGTTTCAGGGGTGAGCTTTTGGCTGGAGGGAAGCTTTCAGCAGCCACTTGCAGTAAGGTATTTACAGCCCACAGGGTTTTTTTCTTGTACGAGGTGTTTTCCATGCACCTACCCTCTGCATGAGGCATCAGGTGCCTTGCTGGGCTATCATGGCCCACTTGAACATCAAAACAAAAGCAAAGCTCCTTGCTAGTAAAGATCCCCTGGCATTGAGCAACACCATGCAGGGCTTCGCATTCAAAACCACGTCCGCACCCAAACACGCACAAACACACAAAACCATGTCAGTTGTTGTTTTAAATACTTTTAAATTCCATTATGTTTCCTTTATGAGTTGTTGGGTTTTTTTTCTCATTGACTGTCATAAATCAACCCTGCTAATCCCACTCTACACGTAGTATTATTAGGAGGGGCATGGCAGAGTGAACAAGGAACTAAGGCATGGTTCAACCATCTCCTCCAAACGGCTCCTATTGCTGGTGATAGAACTGGAGAATGTATAACAAATGGCCAACACCTAAGTGGGTTGTGCCTCTCTTTGGTGGCCAAGCCTTGGCCAGAGGAGCTCAGAGCTGGCCTGGGAGCCATGAAGTGTGCTCTGAAATGCACATCAGCTTTGTGCTCAGTGGTCTGACTACAGACACTGTCTCCCTGGGGAACTGCTTCATGCTGGTGCTTTGGGAAGCAGCAGTTATCAGACTGGCAGGGCAAGAGAGGAATAACAACGTGAACCAATGTAGCAGGAAGCAAAAATGTAAGTGCATCAGGTTGTCCCTGGGGCATATTTGACCAAGGAGGAGTGTTATACATTGAGTATTGTTGTCAGCTTTCTTCTTCGAAGGATACAGGTGCCTTGCAGGCACTCTGAATGTGACCCTGACAGCTCTGGTACATGCCAAGCCCCTATATCAAATCTCAAGAGTTGAAATTCGTTTCTCAGAGGCCAAGCCGCCTTGGTGACAACCCATCCCACTTGGATACAAAAGAGACCCAAACCCCTACATTTTATTTTGGTGTGTGTCTCAAAGAGCTCTGGGACTTGCTCCTGTGAGGCTACAGTGTGCCAATAAACCTGGCACCTACCTCTGCTGTTGCAGCAGAAATACAAATCCACTTCTGAGCTAGACTTTGCCAAAGCAGAGAGCTGAAAAAAAAACAAACAAACTGTAAAAGTGCCTTTGACTCACCACATTCCTGTTTCCTGGCTTCAGCCTGGCACAGGCCACCAGCAGGTCCCATCAGCAGAGCAGTATGGTGAGCATGGCCCAGGCAGCCTTTTCCCTTCTTGGGAAATTGTTTGCAATTTAGTCCCAAAATGTTGCATCCTTCTGAGGCTGCTCCACACTTTTGCACCAAGGGCGTTTCACCCAAAGTGTCTGTCGTGCCCTGTACACCCCAGCAGAGCACAGGGGCTGCAACTCCCCACTCACCAAACTGCCTGAAGCATGTCAGTGGTATGTAAGTTACTGCACAGCTGGATACAGAGCAATCGAGATGGACAGGCAGCCAAAAGCACGTACACATTTAATCCTGTCCACGTTGGTGTCTCTGACACTCCTCCAGCATGGGAGGGGCAGGAGGTGCTCTAAGATCTGGGGCAGGAAACCCCAAAGGGACAGGTACCATCATGAGGCAGACCCCAAATTCCCCAGTCTCTCCTTCTAATAATTCACTAAAGAAAGACAAAGACAGGCCCAGATGTGTTTAGTTTATTTCCTCTGGATTTAGACACAGCTCTGGCTAACCACCACAGCAGCAAACCAACCACGACTGGAGCCAGCCCCCCCACCTCCTCACAGGAAGACCAACTGGTGGGATCCCTGGAGCTCCGGGAGGGCTGGGGCTGCACTGAGGGGGCAGCTCTGCAGGATGCACTTGGGCAGACGTGGTTGTTGGGGGATGGCAGCACAGACCCACACAGAAGGTGCAGCATGTAGGAGTCAGGCCTTGGATGCAATAGTGTAGTGCAGATGGAAGGACAACGAAACAGGTGCCAGCTCTCCAAACTGACAGCTGCCCTCCCCTTCCTCCCCCCAGCTTCTCCTCTGGCTATTTTAAAAAGGGGGAGGGGGTTAAGCATTTACAGAAGAGGCTCTTTAGCAGGGAAGGGTCTCTGAAGGCAGAGATCTGTGAGCAGTTCTTTGAGGAGCCAACATGATCAATCTTTTCAACACTCTATGGTGAAGGGAGATAATCTCAAAGAAACAAACCATGCTGGTGACTCAGAAACACCCAGAGCTTTGTCCTCTGCAGATTCAACATTGGAGGAGGTGCAGCAAATGACTCTTCCAGCATCTTCTAGGTGGTAATGGTGCCCTCTTCATAGTCTGGGCATTTGTTTTTCCAGATGCACTGAGCTCCCCTCTGTCTTGCCCAGGACGAGCTTTTAAGGGGGTCTCTACAGAAGGACCATCCTTGTCTACAGCCTTGCAGCCTGTGAACGGATGGGAAGAGGGTGCTTCTGAGCCTGGAAGGTTTGGACTGGCAAAAGCTGCAGAAGCAAAGAGAAAAGACAATTCTCTATTGCAGATTTTAAGTCCTGGGAATGTCACAGCTGGCAGAGGGAAGCAGAAAAGGACTGAGAAAGTGCCAACACAGCAGGGAGCTGAGCAAAGTTGCTCAAGGATGAGAACTCCAGCAAAGATCCCTGAAGTGTTTTCTGGAGACATTGCATTCTTGCAGTAAATTCAGCAGTAAAGATTACTGCAACCTTCCTTTTAGGAAGTAGCACCAGAAGCAGCTGTGCTGCTATCCCTATGTCTGAGACATGGGCAATTCTGTGACTCAATGCTTGTTCTGATTGAGATAGAGGCTGCTCTAATCCCACACACAGGAGTAAATGTAATGGTTGGAGAGGGATGATTTACTGGCTTAGCAGCAGTTACTTGCCTAGTAAATCTCCTGTGATAGGCGACAAGTGCTTTCATTGCAACACCCTCTTGGAACTACTCTGAGCAAATAGATGCTACCACACCATGGACATCTGCTGCTTCTGCACTGTCAGGATGGGAGAATGCAGGCAGGACATCCAGAGTACGGAGCTGCATCGTGATCAACCAACACCATGCCACTCTAACTTCCTAAGCCTTTCAGCTGCCTTCCAACATGGACCTGGAAATTATGGGGTTTACTATGAACTTTGGGGTTTACCAGCAGCAGACTGGGCTGGCAGCTCAAAGGATGCAGTGTGAAGCAGCTTCCTTCATGCTTCCCAGGCCATTAGCCTTCCCAAGAGAAGAGACTGAACATGAGTGACAGACCCTATTTCACCAGAATCGACTGCAAAACACATCCCTTCAAGCCTGTGCACAGTTCATGCTCCTGCTCTGCAGCTGATTTCTGGAAGCTGTGCTCAGAATTAATGCCCAAACACCAGCTTTGCATGGCTACCAAGGTATATGCATTTTGCTAGGACTTGGGCCTTCTTTTGTTTTTCCCCCCTAAAAAGCACATTTCAAATGGTGAAGAACAGCCATTACTGATTTGTGCTCCAGTTTTCGCAAAGCAGCACTGCCCAGGTCTTCAGCCAGCACTTAGCAGGAGCAGGAAGGCTGGTCCATTAGCACACCTGAGACATTTCTCTAGCAGACGCTAAAGAGAAGCAGCTATTTTTGGTTGAGGGAGAAAAAAAATAGGTCCTCCAAGAGGATACACTGAATGAGTCCTGAGAAGCACTAGAGAAGAACAGGAAAGGCTGAAGGCAGAGTCAGCCCGACCAGGAGGTGCTGGTACAGGGATGAGGGTCCCAGCAAAAGCTGTGCTAAACACAGAAGAGGCACTCCTGAAACTCCACAATCATATTAACCTGTTAATTTATACAGTGTCTCTGTACAAAAATAGAAGGGTTCTAATAAGATTAACAATATTAAATAAATATTTAATAGAAAAAGTCTTTGGCCTAGTTCATAGCTCATCCTTTGGGTTTATGTTCATTTCACTGGGTCCTAGATGCTCCTGGTCCAACATCGCGATCACTTCGTCTGCCTGGATTCGCTCCTGCAAGAGAGGAAGGGGAGAAATGGTAACAGCAGAGCTTCAGTGCCTGCTCTCAGCTAATTCAGTGTGGCTCAGCCTGCAGGGAGGACACACATAGCAAGGATTTCACTCCAGAACCAGCAGTGTATTGAGGGGATGGGGAACTTGAGTTGGGAATTTGCTGGGCAAAATTAATCAAATCCATTTCGACCTCAATACCTAATTCCCTCCTCCCTTCAGGACTGCAGTAGCTGGGGCAGAACTGATGTACTGCAGTTTCCTATCACACTCCACTGGCAGCCACTGCCACAGCATACCCTCCTCCTGTCCCCTCCACATGATTTCAAGCTCCCTGGGCAGGGCTGATCTCCTACCACACAGGCAACAAGCACAGCGGATTTACCACTAGCACAAAAAAGCTGAGAGACACTAGAGTACATGACTGAAAATAAGCTTTTCCCAAAACCTCACAGCCCACCTGCATCACAAGGCCAAGGCACCAGGGTTTTGCACTCTCCCTGCATTTAGTTTTGCTTGGTCTTGTATCTTTTATTCTTGCAGACCAGAATTGATACCAAAGGGAGGTAGGGGCTGGTACATCAGCCTTTTAAAACAGAATCTGAAAGGTGCCTGGTGAAAGGCATCATAGCCCAGATTTTCCAAGGCATCTTGGGTTCCCAGCCCAACAGACTTCAGGTTGACAAAATGTCTTTGAGGACTTAGCAGCAGCAACACACCACTGAGCTGTGGATGGTTCTGGAGGAGTTCCCCAACCATCAGGCTATTACCACTAGGTGTCAGAAATGGCCAGCCCAGCCCTGCACGGAGCCTTTCCACACCTCACTAAGCACCCCAGCCGGCACTGCACAGGGCAATGGGTGCCCAGGAGCATGACTGGCAGGAAAACACAGTCCCGAGGATAGCAGCTCACATGGTGGGAATGCTGCTGTGGGAGTGTAGTGGGGGGAAAACAGATGTGCTGGGACTGGAGAATAAGATGGTCCTGGCTCCTGTGGAATGGTGGGTACTCCCCTACTCCCCCCTCAAATCATGATGGAAGGACTCACCAGCTCTCTGTAGAGAGGGTCCAAGGTGAACCAGAGAGCCACAGCACATCTCTGGCCTTTGGTGACTGCCTTCACCCCATGGGGGTTCTCACCGCCCGACGAGAAGCTGATCATTCGCCCGCACTTGGGCTTGATGGAGGCCTGTGGGAAACAGGCAAAACCAGGGTAGCAAGGAGCAGCACACATTGGCTGTGGCTGGGCTCACCATAGTCCAGGGCCTGAGACCTTACTGGGCATCTCTCTGTGTCACCCCAGGACCCGGTGAGCTGCTCTGGAGGACATGTAGAGCTCTGGGCATGGTTGAAATAAATGTGTGGGGTAAATAGGGAGGTGTCAAGCTTGGTCACGCTGTGCAGACATCAAGCAGAAAGGACATGGAGTCCTTGCAAAGCCTACAGGTGACCACCTAGAGCAGAATGGGGCCATGGCATAACTGTAGGGGGGTTCAGGCTAAGCCTGGCACGGCTGTGCAATGCCTCTTTCTTCCCTCTGCAGAGTCCACAGGAGGTATCCTGCAGAACCTCAGGGGCAGAAGTGCCAACCAAATCAACCCTGAGGCACTTAGTAAACACAATCTACTCTCTAGCACCTACTGGACTCCAGAGCACCAGCGTGGTGCCCAGACAGCTGTCCAACAGCAGACGGGGTGCCCAGCTTCCTTAATGGCTCCACAGAGGTGAGGGCTTGTGCCTGAGCCACATCCTTCTTAGGGTTTTATGTCCACCATTGTGACCCACTCTAGCACAAGAGACTCGAGTCAGGCACTGCATCTATATGGAAGCACCACTTCATGTTTGGCCATGAGATGGGGTGGGAGCTCAGCAGTCCTCCAGGCAGGGATGACTACCAGCCATCCCTCTGCCTGCACTGGGATGATGAGAACCCCTGATCTGTAGGTTTCCTGCTTGGCACAGAAAACCCCTAGAAAGTGAACAGAAACTCTGTGCACTTCTGCCAGCAGGATTTTGTATGGGCTGTTTGCAAGTTAGGAGCCACAGGTTGCCTGGGGAAGCCTAGAGCCCCTGAGTACAGGCTGCCTCAGAGCAGCATTTGGTCCACAGCACCCCCTTACCGTCACGGTTTTGGCGTCCATCTCGGTGAAAATGAACTCGCCGCCTTCAAAATCCGCGTTCATGTACAAGAGGGCACTGGGGGAGGAAGCAGGAGACCCCTGTGACAGGAGGAGTGGGGAGGGCTCAAGGCTGACCCTCACCTCCAGGACAGATCCCACATTGCTCCACCAAGACATGAGTGGGGGTCATCCAAGCTGCTCTGATTTCAGGGACACAGCTGAGAACCAGCAGAACTCTCCTTGGGTAGGGAGCAATTCTCAAAACATCCCCTGAGTCCCACCAGCTCTCACCCTCCTGTTTTGCACCAAAAACATCTGATAGACACACGGTCCTGTGGGCCACAGCTGGGATCTCCCAACCCTAAAATATCACAGAGCCATTATAAGTAAACCATGGCATCAAGCTTAGACACAATGCTTTCTGGCACCATAAACTACCTGCTGGATCTCACTTCTGCCATGGCTGGGATGTACCAGCTTTAATCTTGTGAAGCAAGATGCCATGACATGGGGAGGGTTCCTGGGTGCCCCAGGGAGCAGATCTCCCTTCCTTCCTTCTTACCTGTAATCCCGAAAGGTGTAGGCAGGCGGCTCCTTCCAGCACTCATTGGCTTCAGGGTCCAAAAGGCAGTTGTCAGCATGGATGGGGTGGCTCAGGTCATTCCTCCTCTCCTGCTGGCCTAGGCAGGACCATGTGGAGGAAGGGGGAAGGGGAAAGGGTGGATGAGATGGAAATGCCGTGCTCTGTGAGGTCCATCATGGGGCAGGAGCCTGCCCCGACCCCACTCTGGGTGTTCACAGATGAGAGGAGAAAAGCAAAGGTTGGGGAGAAAAGGCAACATCTGAGGACTCAGATCTGCACAGCTCTGCTTGTTCCTTACTGCAGGGAAGTGAAATGGAGAACTGTGCGTGGGGTGGAAAGGAGAAGGGACAGTAAGAGGAGGCAAGAGAAGAGGGAGGAGAAAATAGGAAGAGTTGCAGACATGAAAACCAAGAGACATCCCAGAAATTAGCATCTCTGGGACAGCAGTGCCCACCCTTTGCTGCTGTGGGGATGGTGACATTGCCCAACCCTTGGCCACCAGTTCAAGCATCATGCAAAGCACAGGTAATCTCAGGCCTGGGACCCCCACTCATAAACCAGGGCTAAAGCCCTCCCTTCCCCCAGCCCTGCCCTGCCTCTGGCCCCTCGAGCCCTCACCGGAGAGGGCGGTGCGGCACACCAGGTGTGTGTAGGAGAAGTAGAGCGTGGAGTTCAGCATGAAGTAGGACTCGACGATCCTGCGAGCCTTCTCGCTGATGTCGTAGAAGAGCCGGGCACTCTTCAGAGGGACACGGCCCTCGTAGCCATACTGGACAAGGAGAAGGGGCAACAGAGGTCAGTGTCATGTGCCCACCGGGAGGGACGACGCGGGAGAGGAGGAGGAGGAGGAGGGAGCTCTACCTTGAGGGCTTTGAGGACGGTGGCTCCTTCAAATCTCTCGTTTGGGGTGTGGGGGGAGGTTTTGCCCCTGTAACCATCTCCAGCCAACATGATCCCCTGAAAGACATGAATACACAACTGGTCAACTGGTTCATCAGGAGAAGGGGAGCTGCAGTAGAAGCACCTGGCACCCCCTTCCCCAAATTCCCCAGGGCTGCATTTACAGGGACAGATGAGTCTGGTGGGAAGGTGCTGCAGCTCTCTATGAACATGGATGATGGATATCTCCTGACTGGAGACATTCAGGCACCCTCAGACCCTTCTCAGGCTCAGTTAATGGTGAATGAGAAGGCTCAACCAGACTTGTGGATGAGCATCCTCTGGGATTGTGTGAAACATGGGGCAATGAGCTCTTTCTACACAGGCTCTGTCTTGCAGCATGTTTCTAGGAACAGCCTGAGATGGAGTAGCAGCTCCTGTGCTGCAGTTATGGGTGTGCTATGGGGATAAGTATCTGCCTGCTCTTCACAGGCATCTTGGCATCAGTTGCAACACTCAAGAGCGAGGTATGAACCCAGAACCTCTCCAAGGGCTGATCACACGTTCAGCTATCACAAACCTGATGCTGGGGAGAGCATCAGGCACTCAGCCCAGGTGGCAGCCATGTCCCCCCAGGGGCATTGCCAACTCACACTGGCCACCCTGTGCAGCTCCCGGCACTGCTCCTCCGAGATGACGTTGTCCAGGAGCACTCGCTGGGTGCCATTCAGCTGCTGTGAGTTGTAGACAAACTTCACATCGCTGTAGAGAAGTGGGCCCCCTGATGAGAGACACAAAACGACCCTGCTGAACATATCCTGGCCTTGTTGACATCTTGTACCGTGACTGAGGGCCAGCTGAAGTGACTCAGGTGCACAGGCAGGGAAAGAGCTTCACAGCAAGAGTTTGGCCTCCCATCAGTAACAAAAGAAACAGAAGCAACGGGAACACTCAGAGATGAAATCAACTTGCTGCAAGAACATCAGCATTTTCCACCTCCTCATCAGCTGCCTTGCAAACACAGGGACCACAGCCTGAAAACACCAGATCCTGATGGGACACAAGGACAGATGTGGACAGTGGTTAACTTGGCCCTCCTGCCCAGTTGCCAACATCATCAGAGGCCATAAGTTTCCATTGGACTCAAGCTGTGTGGATCTTGCTGGCTTGGCAGGCAAAGCCACTCTCTGCAATTGTCATCAGAGGTCTTTTTGTCATTTACACACACAGAAAGTCTCGCGAGTGCTGAGCTTGCTCTCCTCCAAGAAGGGGGCTGGGAGTGGGTGAGCCAGAGGGGTCTGAGGACAATCCTCCACTGAGGGAAAGGAGCTGCCCTGGCTGTCCCTGCCATCCCTCACATCCTGCCTCTGAGGTGCCTCCTTCTGCCTGCCAGTAGCCAATGGCTTGGCTGCATTTTGGGGGTCCAGGTAACATCCCTGGAATGGGAATATAGCAGTGGCTGGGCTTTCACACTGCTGAGCTCCCACCTGGTATGGGCCAACTAAGCCTTGCCACATGCTGAGCAAACGGGCAAGGAGAAGGGAGAGATTAGCTTTTTACCAGAGGTTTTGCTCAATCCCCATGAAATTTTACTGATCAAAAAACCAGGGCAAAGCCTCTAAATCACCTCTAAATCTTTTGAAGCTTCTTCCCTATGTCTCCTCGGAGAGAAAAAATGAAATAAATGGTAACAATAAAAGCCTAAACCAGATTTTTTTCCAGTAGGAAGGTGAAATGCACCTAAGCTGTGAGGAAAATTATGCACTGTCACAGAGAGGCAAAGAAATAGAGGAAACAGAGCCATGGAGCTCCTCTCTCACCACTTGGTACAAAGAAACTTCTCTGAACACTGATTTTATAATGTCTACTTTTCCTGTCTGTTGAGGCACACTGTGTTTTTGGAAGGTCTCCTTGGTCTATGGAGGACACATAACCCCCACAGAGCCCTGCCACTATCCCAGTTTATTTCTGAAGAGTTAGGTTTCTTGGAAATGGAAAAACGGGACGTTTCTGATGTTCACTGTGCTGATCTTGTTGCTTGATAATAACATTTATTGCAAACGCAGCTGGATCAGAAACAGGACTCTCAAATCCAAACTCCTGGCACACACACTCCAACTCAGGCCTGAGTTTTCCAGCTCAGATGTTGCTCCTCCCCAGCCATAGGCACATGAGGGATGAACATGGAAGGGCATCACTGACCACTTCCACCATTTCTTCTGTTTCTCACAGGAAACTAGCAGAGGTGGCCCTGTGCCGTGAACACCTTGTCCCATACCAGCAGCACACTCCTGCCTGCCTTCACTGCCCCCGCTTCCTCTAAGGACTAACAGAGAGAGACCTGTTTCCTGTGCCTGTGCTCTGTGAAAAACACCCCAAAGAAACTGGAGAATTTTTTCTGACTTTTGAGAGTGAAGGAATTGGCAGAAGGGAGGAAGGGGGGAAGGGAAGAAGTACAGAAGAATACAAAATTAAAACGGACTTTTCTCTTTTGGCCTATTCTTTTTCCAAGTAAAAAGAGAGAAAGAAAAAAAGACAACAGAGAAAGGCAGCAGCTGGATGGACAAAAATCCCATTTTCTTTTTGAATGGTTTCAGTTCTCTTTGTAAACAAAAACATTCTGCAAGTAAACCAGAATAAAAACATAGAAGAAAAACCAGAAAGAAGCACTCTGAAATTACTTGGTTATAGAGGGTGACCAGGCCAACAAATATAATTCAACCAGCTCTTGGCTTATGCAAGCTGTTTGGGATCTTCCTGTGGTATTCACCTACTTTATGTACAGCTAGAGAAGGGATAACAATACTCTGAACACAACACTGAGCAGCTGGAGACAACTTGGGCTGGGGAAAACTGTGAAATTCCTAAAAAAGCACAACTATCTATTGCATTACAGGGAGGTTGAATTGCCTGCTGCTGTGTAGCTGGCTCACTGGAGACACAAGACACCTCTTGGCTTGAGATCCCACTGTTTTGCAGCAAGAAGCCTGCTTTGGTGCTTGGCTACAATATTGTTATTCAAAATTGTTATGGGGAAAAATCTTGTCTTTAGTAGAAGATGTTATGGTATTTTCTGTGGTTGCTGAAAATGTGCTGAAATCAGTTGAATGTCTGCCAACAGGCTTAAAAACAAGTGACTTGATGTAAGCTAAGACATGAAATCACAAACCAGTCTGCAAAGAGAAATGGTTGCTAACATGGTGTGATCCAGCACATTTTGCACAGCATCAGGACTGTTACTTCCAGAATCCATCCTTCTGCAGCCTTGACAATAGGGAACATGTTTATCTTATAAGCATCTTGAGGCAAGACTACTGTTTGCTGGTGCCACTTTTCCCACGGTGAGGAAGATCCAGCCTTCCACCTTCACATCTCAGGGCTCTGTACTGAACAGCTCAGCAGGTGGGAAAAGCAAGTCCAAGGGCAGAGCAGTGCCACTGGGATCCACAGATCCAGAAATGCTGTGGCAGCACTGAACACTTCTCTGTCTCTCAAACAAAACTTCAACTCCCTCAAAGAGGAGTGGCCCTCGTTGCTCAGCAGCCAGCCTTTGCAATCCACAGTCTGCAGCAACAGGAAAAAATCTCCTGATTTTGTTCATCTGACTTACCCTCCTTCAACTCTCGATCTGGCTTTGGCATGGGTTTCTTTGCCAGGGACAGCCGAGGCCCATCCTCTGGTTCACTGCTGATACTTGATGGGACACTGAGGAGCAAGAGAAAAGAGGAACATCATGACTTTGGCCACAGGTCTCCAGTTCTTGGACTCGCACTTTTGCACCCTTTGCAAACTAACATGTGAAAAAAACAGGCTAATCAGTGCTTTGTACAAATGTCACAACCATACAAGTTGAAGCCCTCACCCTGTCCTGTGGCAAACACTGTTTTTCTGGTAATGGGAACAGTTTCCACCAGCAAAGCACAGACACCAACAAACCTGAACAGCACCACTTGCCTCAACAACCAAGTTGCCTCTAGACCAGCTAAAAATAAGGTCCTTGTGGGAATCTTTGCAATGGTAAGGGGCAAAGGGCCCTAATTCAATCATGATGGTGTGCTGGGGTGGATGGGCAGGACCCCCCCGAGTGGCAGGCTGGTACCACATCCATAGACACTTCCCTTTCACCCCACTGTGTGGAATGGTGAAGCCATGGGCTCAGCTGGGGCGGCTGGTGGCTCACCTGTGCTCATCCTGGCGGGCTCCATACCTGTTCCAGTAGTTCTGTGGGAAAAGAGAGAGATCGAGCTTCTTAATTTAATGCTCCAGCTAAAGCCAGGGAGCTACCTGTTCTACCTTGCACCCAGGAACATCAGCCAGCCTCTCTGGATCCATCCCACATAACTCTGGGCAATTGATTGAGGTAACCAGATTGAAAATGTAACCCCAAACCAAACTGGTGCAGTGAGATGAGTTCACAGGGAGTTCAACTTGCCCAGCTTTCTCTGTCTCAACCCACCACCATGGCAGTGGCTGAGACAGCCAGACACCATGGCAGGACAGCTGGACTAAGTTGCATCTGCATCTCTTTCACCCCAGAACAGCTGCCACCCTTGCTTTGCCATCACCATTTTCCCACAGGGAACAAACCAAGCCAAGACTCAGCTTCTGAGTCACTACACAGGACTGGCTTTATAGTAGAGAGGGGAGGGGAAGCTGGTCCTGTAGCTGGGAACTCCTAAAGGTCCTGGGCACAGAACACCCAGGCATTACCGGCTCTGTGTAGGCATATCCAAGGCCAGCCGCAGCCACTTGCAAGAGGTGTGACTCCAGCTTATGGCGCTGCAGGAGTATTTTTGCTTCCTGAAAAGAAAAAGAAAAGGGGAGTAGTTGCACATGCAGCTTTCACAAGACACAGACAATGCACCTCTGCTTTAGAGGGGTTTGGTTTTCATGCCACACTGCAGACTCCTGTGGGGTAAGGGATGCTTGGAGTAACCCCAGGCACAGGGCTGAGCTGCTCAGTACATTAGAGAAGGGATATTCAGCAACTCATTCGAGAAGTCTGAATCCCCAAAATACATGCCCTTAGCTGGCAGAGAGTGCTGAGCACCTTGGAGAACATCCAAATATCTGGGCAAAAGGCTGGTCAGAGAAGCCCCAGCTGCAGAAGAGGGTCAGGTTCAGTCTGGTGGGGCAGAGACCCCGGCTGGGCGGTGCCTTGGCTCCCCATGTGCAATGCAGAGCCCAGGGCCTGGCTGTGGGTGGGTTACAGCAGCACAGCCTGGAATACACTCAGGGCGCTTGGATGAGGACCACAAAGCACAGCCAGTTGGAAATTGTCCATCAGAGGGATTTATTTTGAATGAAAAATTTGTAAATAAAACACTGGGGTTTCTCCTAGAAAATGACTTTGCAAAGCAAAAATCACATTTTTTTTAACAGAAAAATTCAAATTACTGGAAATAATTAAATGTTTTTGTCAATGTTTTTTCCTAGATTTATTTTGTGAGGAAAATTATTCTTGTTTTCCTTTTTGTCATTTCCCTTTTCTTTTTTAGCATTTTACCAAATTAACCTTGATTTGCCTGGAAATCAAAGAATACCCGAGAGAATGGAAAAAATAATTCCTGCCTACCCTCTACTTATGGTGCAAGGGAAATGAGCCTCAGAAGGGCTGTGATGGTATGGGAAGAACTCCTGCATCGTGAGAAAGGCAGCGGCATGGCCACAGATAAAGGCTGCCTGGCCCGGAGAGGAAGCCTGTCCTGCTGGGTAACAACACACACTGTTTGGTTTTTTGACCCCAGCCTAATCCTGTGATAGCAAAGCTACTCCCCACAGAACAGGCTGAGCCCTGAACTCCAAGCTAAAGGACTTGAGAGTAACACTGGCATCCCAGCCTCCCCTTGGGAAAATATTTCTCAGTCCTCTCCTAACAGAGGTTGCCCTTTACTCAATGCTTCACTGCATTCCTCCTCCATATCTCCTCTGGAGCACAGGACAAGATGAGGATTTACATTGTTGAGGTACTTGCTCATCACTCTCCCTGCTCTTGCTCGGCCTTTGCTAAGCTGAAGTCCCCATTTAGAGAAGATCCTGCCCACCAGCTTCTCCCCCACACCAGTTACTCTGGACTTGCACCCTGGCAATTAGCATCACCAGCGAGCCCAGCACCTCCACTTCTGTTTTCAAAGTGGTCCCACTATGGCTAAGCTGCCAAGCTGCTTTTATTTTCAACTGATGCTTTTGTTAAAACCTCCCATGAAGAGCTCTTAGGTGTCACTCCCTCTCACCTTTCTGGGTTTGATGGTGTCTGGATCCACTGCACCCTCCAAGAGACCCTCGTAATAACCTGCGTTCTCCAAGACATCTTCATCATCGGGGTGGAAGAGGAGGTAGGATTTGGCACACTCCAGGGCTTTTACATAGTCACCAACTGGGAGGCAATACAACAGCAGTCAGGGAGGGCAGAGAGGGGCACAGCCCTACTGGCACTGCCGGGGGCTCCCACAGAGCACAGCGGGGCAGAGCCGAGGAGGGCAGTCTGCAGGGAGGGAGGGCACAGCCTGAGCTCCCCACCAGCTGAAGGGGCAGCCCAGCACTCTACAGGACTCTTTTGATGCAACCTTGTCTTAACCACTCCATTTCCCCAGCAAGGAAAGTGAGGCACAAAGACAAGACTTCTCTGCCCTCACACACAGATCGGATGGTATCCAAATTGGATCCAACTGGATGGGCAGGATGTGGATGCTGTCTGGCATCAAACTGCCTCCCATGGGGGGTTTTATCCACCACATTAAACCTCTAACTGGGCAGAGGAATTAAAAAGCCTGTACACCACACACAAAACACTGCTGACTCCTCCTGCTTTCTTCCCACTGTGTTGATGAATGAAGAACCTTTTATGTTTGAGTAGCAATTCTGACCCTCACGCATTCTTCCCTTTTCAGGGAAGAGGCTCTTAGCACAAGCCTGAGAGAGCAGAATTCTGCATACATTTTCTTTTATGTAACAGAACACAATAAAATAGCACACAGAACCACACGACTGGCAGTATTTTATAGCACTGCCAACTCCCGACGTTTTGCCATGCTGCCAACTCCTGCAACTTTACTAGGAATCTTAAAATACTTGGCAATTGGCAAAAATTGGCATCTTGGGATAAGCTTGGGGTAACTCATATATCTGTTATATATTAACTTAGAAAAAAAACCCCTATCAGTTCATTTCAGAAAATGTGAAACATAAATCCCTAAAACTTTAATGTCAAAAGGCAAATGAAAGGAGCCCAAAAAAAGCATGATTTATTTAAAAAATAGTAATGTTGAATCTAAAGTCTGGGCTTTTAAAACCTGACTGATGATCTAAAACACCTTTATAAAACCACTGGATTGCATTTCAGTCAACCTGACTTTTCAACCTGACTTTTGAAGAGACAATGTCCAATGTCCTTTGCTTCCCAAGTCTTTCAGACCATGCCACTGCATCACTGTAGCACAGACATCAGGAGGAGATAGCCTTACTTACATATGAAATAATTCAAACCTGTACAAAATGAACAAGCACTATAAGGAACAATACAACAGCCTTTACCTCTGTAATAGGCAAACTGCAAGTAGTCATAATGGAGGGGAAGGAAATTTTCGATGGGTGAGATACGGCCCGAACGCGTGGCGAGTTCTCGGACACAGTCGTGCTTGCAGGCCAGGACTTGCATGTAGTGATCTGCCAAAAAAAGAGGGAGAAGATGGTCTGAGCCGAGAGGGATGGTGATGGTGCTCAGACAAGGACAGACAGAAGTTAAAACTCCCCCACTGAAGGACATGGAACTCATGCTGCTCTGGTCCAGCAGGTGATTGTGCACCTAGAGAAAGAGCTTAGGCTCCTTCCCAAAGACAATGGAGAACTGCAGTCACAATTTTGCCTCTCTTTAGAAACGCCTTCCTCCTTCTGTCAACTCTAGAGGGAGCCTGAGCATCTCTTTTGTGTGCTGGGAGCTGCTGCAGGGTGCAGGGACGTGCAGGTGGCAAGTACCTCTTCAACCCCAAGAGCCAAACCAAAGGTGAGGACACCCATACAGCAAGTGGAAGTGTGAAGACAAGGTGGCCATATGTGCTGCCAAATGAAATCCATCTCCAGACTCCTTTCCTTCAGCTCATCTTTAATCCTCTCCTTTCAGCAGCAAGAAAGCTCCTGAGGGCATGGGGAGGTTTAGCTACAATGGGTTGCTGCAGATTCTCAAGTGCGGCCGAGCAAGGCACCTGCACCTCCAGTCTGAATGGTCTGAGGTGCAAGTACAGGCAGCAGAAATCCCCATGTTTGCTGCTTCTCAAAGATGAGCTATCTCCCAGGGAATCATAAGCACATGGTAAACATCTGCCATTAGCAAAGTTTCTTAATTGGTGGGAATTCACAATATAGGCGTTGTACCAGCTGTACAATTTCAAAGCAAACACTGACATCTGATTCCAGTTTGGAGCCTTTGCTGCAATGTACTTACAAATCTACTTTGCTTGCTCTGTCTCCATGCACCATTAAAAACCTTAAGGAACAAACACAGGCTTGAAAACAACCACGTGCTCAGCTACCAAAGCATTTCTCAGGGCTGCCAAAAAAACAGCCTGAGGAATTTGCAATGAAATCAAGTGGAAACAGTCCCCATTTGCTCTGGACAGGTAGTCTGAGTAGTTATCTGACTTAGCACACACATCCAGGGTATTACATTAAGAAAAGCAAGAAGGGAAAGGACATAAATAATATTGTTGTAATTTAAACCTGAAATAATCAATCTATCACTGAGAAGCACTGCTTTTTCTTGGTACTGTCAAAGTGCAGGCTATATAGACTGGAATCAATTCTCTGAAATGTATCTGCCCCTGGGGTGGGTGGAGAGGTGAGTGTTTCAACCTCAAGCAGCAGCACAGTTTGTGATTGAAAAGAGAAATGAATTTTGAAGAAACCTCAACTTTCTTTTTCTGGTTCATAGTGTTCCCACTCCCAGTTGAAACATTTGGGCCTGAGTGCCTTGCACCCAGGAGTGAACTCTGCATTATGCTATCCTGTAAGGAACCACTTAGTTCCATACAGAAAAGCAGTCACATCACAAATCTTATTTCCCTCTGTGTGCCTGTTTCTGGAGTTTGTTTACCCAGGCATATCTGTTAAAGACACAGTACTTGCAGGGACCATCTGGCTTCTTCTCACTCCCAGGTGATGTTCTGGGTTAAGGACCACCACATCATGACCATGTCTGTCCTTCAGATGGACCAGTACAGAAACATTTCTGCTCACTGGGGCTGCACTCAAATTGCACAGCACAGGAGCAATTTATCAGAGACCAAAACCTGTCTGAAGAGCAGCAGCTTTCAGTGAGAAGGAAGGTGGGTTTTCTTTGCCAGTGAAGGTTGCTTTCTTGATGTGGCCCCTGGTGCCCTGGTCATGCTCTAAAAGCAGGCATGATCAGCTGACAGTTACGTTACTACCAAGTCAGCCCTTACAACACTTCTTCTATTTTTTGCATGGATAAACAAACCCAACAAAGGCAGCTCCCCATCCGGTATGCTGGTGGTTTCTCATTTGGTTGTTTCAATTAAATTTCCTGTCTCGACACAAACAGAATTATGCAAACCCAAAAAACAGTCTGCATCTGAGTGAAGTACTTTCCACACAAGAAGCGAGACTCCAGAGCTTGATGCAACTCCAAGACCCTAAGCAGATAAATACGATTTCTGTCACCAAACAAACCTTAATTTATTGCTCTTCCTTCCCTTATGACTAATTAAATGTAATCTCATTTCTACTGAGAATGAACTGTTTTAATTCCCTCTGGCTCAGAGCCACACATGCAAATATGAAGATTACATAGCAACATTCAATTCTTTCCGGAGATTTCAGTCAAGATCATAATTAGGTGGGCCCCCACTAATGACAAATCCATCCTTTTGGATGGGGAGAAAATCTGTGTTACGAGCCTTTTTGGCAACTTTCCTGGCCATCTGGAGCATGGCCAAGAGAACTCTGCTACTCTCTTCATATGCTCTCAAAAACAGAAAACATAAACAGAGGCCAGCAATGTCTAGATTCCAGGGAGGTGTGTGAGACTGTGTACAGGGGGAAATGGAAGCAGTTTATGATAAAGCACCTACATTTCCAGCTCTTATGGAAAGTTGCAAATGCTCCACACATCTGGAAATGCAATTCTTCTAGCTGAGCTTCTATTCAGGACTGAAACTAGATGTCCTAGTTCCCTGCTCTCTAAGTTTGCACTTTCTGGACTTCTAAGTGCCTCCTGCAGTGATGAAAGGAAAGACACTTCACCGAATCCAGCCAAAGGTCCTAACTTGGTAATTAAAAATATTTCAGGGCCAAGGACAAGAACGCTAAAAATGCAAAAAGATCTCACCTGCAATAGCTTCGTAGAGACCAGCCTTATAATCCAGGTACTCATGCTCCTCAAATCTCTGTGGCCCCTCGCACATGATCTGGCAATCTTCATCCTCGCCGTAGTACCCTTTCAACGCACGCTCCAAAAACTCAATGGCCAGCTCGTACTCCTCCCTGTCGTAGTGCCTCACTCCAGCACTGTAGTCCTCCTGCAGAGTAGGTAGGCAGAACACAAGAGCATGAGCTGGCTATGCTGCCTGGGCCACAGCACCCTGCCCTTGCCAACTGCAGATGCTTCTCTAAAGAAGGTACAAGCGGGCAGGGACAGAACAGTCTCCCCAGAGACCTACCAGATGCAACTGGTTGTACCAAACCATTTCTAAGCCATCAGTGGAGTTTTGGACCACTGGAACCTCAGAAACCTGCCTAAATGCTCTTCTGAACTCCTCCACACTTAGGGAATCATCAATGCCACTGCTAGATTGTACATTATACGAAAAAACATTCCTTTTCTTTGTTTTTACCCTCCTACCAAACAACAACACTGAATGCCAAGGGAAAAGATGGGTCCTGACATAGGAAGATCTTTATTAGAATGGCTCCTAATGAGCACCTCTATTAATTACACCAGCCAGCCATGCCTGCTTCCTTGAGTCTTGTGAAATCAGGAAGTTGGGGGTGGCCCTGGCATTTGTCTTGGGCTTTTGCTTTGGAGAGATGGAAAAAGCTGACACTCTCCTGCCTGTCACCCTGCACCCTCCCCAGCACAGCCACTCATGTGCGTGTACCCTGCCCAGGTGGCAGAATCCAGGTCAAAAGAAACACACAGGAGCCAAGATCTGTCTATCCGTGCCCATGGAGGCATCCATCAAAGCTGTCTGCTGGTGCATGTTCACAGCCACGAGTGACCCCAGAATTCACTGAAGAGAGAGACCAGGCTGGGGATGATCTAACAAAGAGAAGAGTGCCTTGAAAAGGCAGGAGCTGGTTTGTCTGCTTAGGAAAATGCTATAAGGGAGAGTTTGTTTTCCTGTATTGTTTGTCCATTAATACAGACCTCAGCAAAAATCTCCCCATTCGTAGATGATCCTCTCTTGGCCTCCTAAATCTCTGCTCTCCAGACTGCCTGATACTTAACCTGTGCACCTCTTTAGCTCAGACTCACCATGTGCTGCCTGGCCTCCCGGTCAACCAAGCTGACCTTCCCTGCCGTGGTCTTGTAGTTCTCGATGTCCTGCTGTATCTCCATGTGCTCGGGGTTTGCCATGAAGAAGGTGTGAGCTGCATTTGCTGCCTCCTCCAGCTTGTTCAGCTGTAACAAGGTAAGAAAGACCAAGTGAGGTTGATGATGTGGGAAAGTGAACACAGCAGTTTATGCTGCATCCTCTGACACTTGTACCTCTGACACCCTTTTGACACCACTGGATTGGGCAATGATGAGATAACCAAGGAGAACACGAACACAGAGGCTAAAGAAAACAGCTGAAGCGAGAGGAAGGCCCAGTGCAAGTGAAATGGGAAGAGCTGGAGCTCTTGAGAGCCATACAGGTCACTGCAACACGGTCTCCTGGTGTTGGGATCTAACCCATATTCCAGCAGCACATCCTCTTAACTCAGCTTAACTTCAACCCCCTCTACAGCCCCAGATGGAAAGATGCTCTCATGAGACATGAGACAGAGAGAGGAGGGGAAAGCAGATGCTGAGATGATTCTCTCTACAAGCCTTGGAGGCTGAGCTATGTCCAGGCTAAAGGCTTCTGCTTGGAAATGGGGAGTTGGGACCATTTTTAAGCTCAGCTGTGTATAGCTGCAAAAGGCCAGACCCTGCTGATAGAGGCAGGGGTATAAACAGGAGCTTATTTCGGTAAATCAAGTCACTTTAGATTTAGACATTCAGAACTGAGACCAGACACTAGTTTCACCCTGGAGAAAGCCTCATAAACAAACAGAAATGCTAGTGCTAAACACATCCACAGCAGCTGCTGGGAGCATGGGGAGGAGAACAGACGTTCAGGTGAAACATCTGTATGACCTAGCAGGAGAGAAGTCGCTAATGTACTTGCTCCTGAAAGAAAACCAACACCCCTGAGAACCAGCAACCTGCAGTCAGGTCCCCTGGACATGTCTGCAGTCTGACCAGGCTCACCCAAGCTTGTCAGCCAGGACCAGGCTAATGCTGGCCCTAGCTAGGCTGTGTCCAAGTGTTCTTCTTGAACAGAGACCTGCAGTGAAGAATGAGCTTCATACCCTGTTATCCTGGGCCTGGAGCAGGGCAGAGAAGCTCCAGGGCAGAGCTGGCCAAAGAAGCACACATGAGTATCTCCAAAAGGAAGATGAAAGCCCTGGTCAGATGGCACCCCAGCCCGCTCCCCAGACCTGCCCTCTGCACACCAAAGCACAGCTGTGCTGCAGTGCCCACAGAAATGCAAAAAATTTGCCTTGTGTAAACTTCAGAAATTTTTAAGGATTATCTCTGTACTGACAACATATGCAGGGAAGCCAGCTTTTACTGCAAAAACAACATCTATTCCAGTCCCATTTGGAGTCTTCCAAAGGACACCACTCTCCATAATAACCCCTTGGCTTTCCAGCAGGCGAAAAAAATGACTGTAAGAAATTTTTATCCAAGACAGCACAAAAAAAATCAAAACCCCTTCAAGTATAGAATTACCTTTTTTTAAAAAAAGAGGCATTCCCACTCAGAAACATGCACCCCATCCCAAAAAAGCTCATCTCAACACAACCCCACTCTGGAAAAGTTCACTGAAGCTGGACATGATTGGATGTAGGATAAAGGACTGACCAGAGCATCTCACAATGGGAATTTTCAGGTCCTGCTGAGTGTATGTGGGACTGCCTCTGCAGCTGGTAACTAGGGAGAGTTGAGATGGAGCAAGAAGTTGGTTGGAGACATGTGAGCTGCTGACCTGTTCCAGAGGCCTCTAAAGAAGCCACTGTTTGAGTTGCTCAGTAGAGCTGCATTCCTCCACAACACACCACAAATTTCTATTCACAAACAACACCCTCTCTGTGCAGACTTTAAAACCAAATGCACCTCAGCAAGGGAAGTGGTCCCTTGAGAGACAACCTGCAATAGTCTGTTGTGGGATGTTCTTTTTCCCTTTTGTTCCATCTCCTTTTCAGGAAGCTGTCAAAAACTGTCACAGATTCCAAGATGAGCTTAGTTTTTCTGGGTAACATCCACCCCTGTGAGAGAGGAAGAGCCTGATTTCTAGACAACAGAAATTCCCTTTCAAACAAGGCTCACACTGTGTCTAGTCCTGCTGGCTCTTCACAGCAGAGATGACCTTTGGCATTTGCTAAGTGGACTCAAAGCAGAACATTTCAACTCAAAGCTTTTCAATTTATCATGTCCCATATTTGCCTTAGAAACACTCAAGTAACACAAAGAAGCCCACAGCTGCTAAGTTTGGGGGAGTTTTTAAGTGGTTGACTGTATATAAAGGCAAATTCCTAACTGGTAAGACACATTCAGAGTCTAGCACTGACATTAGTTATGAAACACTCTGGGAAAACTTTTGCCAAAGCATTCTGAATTCACAAGGAGCAGGATATTTTGGTGTTTAAAGGTCTGGGCTGGGACTCAGGACACCTGGACTCAGTTCCTGGCCCTGTCACAATCTCACTGTGCAGCCATTGGAAAAAAACATTTTTGTTTTCTTTGTGCCTGATTTTCCATTGTTTTAAATGAGTAACAATAAAAATAATAGCATTTCCCCCACAGAGTACTAATTTTGTTTATTTGGATGGCAAGTAACTTGGGGGCCATAATCATGTGCATGCATGTAATGCAAGGAGATTTTGATCTTTGTACAAACCATTGCTGAATGAAAATCACAAGTTAAAAATGACACTGTAGAGTCACAACCTCAGTATGTGTTCTAAGGTCTGCTTGCTCACCCCACTGGAATGAGATCACTGGACTATCACTGCAGCTTTGCACCAAACCCTGTGTACTTCAGCCAGAGAAGACACATGAAAGCAGAACATCAGCACTGAGGGAGACCCAGGACCACCCTGCCCTGTCCATTTTGATCTTAACATGCCAACAGCTAGAACTGAGAAGGGGAAAACACATGTAAGTGCTTCTGGGTTCTGATGCTGGAAAATATTTATTTTCCTCACTGAGATGCTAGGAGTGGTTCATTTCACAGAAAAATAGGAAAAATATTTTAAGCAGCAGAGTTTTGGATGAAAGAATTTTAGCAAACTGCAAATGCTCAGTTTCATTCCCATCTGGGACAGTGCTGGCCTGGACTTCAGTGGGACTGTGACTTCCAGCCTGCAGAGGTGGCTTGGATTAGGAAGGCTGCTTTAACCAGAGCATTATATAGGAACAAACACAGGCTGGAGAAAGGACACTGAGTGAACATCTTGAGCATTATTAGACAGTTGATCCCAATTCTCACTGATAACCATGGAGAAAATCCCTTATGGAGCCTTCCTGAGCTGCATGATGAAATACATAACACAATGTTAACAGATCCTTAATAGTTCTAGTACCTGTCAAGTTATGTTTAAGCCAGTAAAATCCATCCTGAGCAGTCTAATTTGTACCTGTAATGCCACTGTCACCAACCTGCCATGCTTAAAAAATAAACTGTCTCATTGGAACACGTATAACTTGCTTTTGATTTTACCATCACTTTGACTGCTGTGTCCCTCGAAAAGAAACACAGAGAATTCACCTCATCCCTAAAGCCCACCTGAAACAGCTCAGACTGGCTCAGCTAAATGTGGAGGGACCTGCTCTGAATTCACACTTGCCCTCACTATTTACAGATGATGAATCCTGACCAAAGCCCCTCTCATGCCAGATGCTCAGCAAGCTTCCATAAACCCCTGGCCCCTTCCCCAGGAGACAGGACACAGCAGATCCGTGGCTTTAGCTACAGTGACCCAAAACTTGCAGTCTTTAAAGTTTGCTTTCTGTGCTTGGCAGTGGGGATAACAAAGTGGAACAGGCAGCATGCCAGGCCTGTGAGATGAGCATCACACAACTTTACAGTCTGCTTGTGCAGCCAGGGCACGGGGTTGCCCTACCACCACCACTTTGCTTACACTGAACATTGACATACTGCAACTTAGGGGGGGAAGCAGCTGTAGCCAGAACAACTACAAGTATTCAGCTGCTCCCAGCTCATCCTGAGGTTTTTATGGCAAAAACAAGGACAAAAGAGATACAAAAGTCAGAAGATTTAAGAGAGAATGTAGCCAAAGCAATATTTGATTCTGACTGCCTGAGACAAGGGGTCACGGGTAAGACATAACCAAGACCTCAGACTATTTTTCATAATGAGTTCCCATTGCATTGAACATAATATCAGATATTTGCAGATGTCATGTATTCTGTATCAGACTGTCATAATCCAACCTGCTTCTATATTAAGGTATCTTCAGCACATAAAACATAGCTTGAATTAATTTATTTTTTTTTAGAGGGGAAGAGAAGTAAGGTTTGTACACTGGAAAATATGCCAGATCCCTCAAATACCCAGCATTTCTTGCCATGACAGGACTGGACCTACCTGCACATAACCTCAGTTAATTGCTAAGTGCATGAGCTTGGCATGGAGCTTGTGAGGAAAAATTTCAAACCATTCGGCTGACCTAGAAAAAAAAAGTCTCAACCCTCCCAGACAACTCCTGGTTTGCTGAACAGATAATGTTTTTCTAAACTTTTCCATAGCTCCACTGCTGCTGTGTTGTATTGAAGGCTTAGTGCCCTGGGCTCTGCAGAGGAGGGAGGCTCTGGAGTCTGCAATCACAGACAACAAGGGAAATAAAAGGTTCAGTGCCGTGAAGGATTAAGCTCGTTGTGTCTGTGCAGAGCTTACTGCCTGGGTGAGTAGAAGCAAGCAGCAGTGAGATGGCTATAAATAGCATGTGACCTTGTCTCAACTGTTCTATTATTGCAAATAAGAAGGAAAAATTCTCCAGAGAAGTTAATCAAGAAATTTTCCCTTTGCTGATGGGCTCACACCTTCACAGAATGATGCTTGAGCTGTCTGCAGCCCACCACAGCACCCACCGACCCCACAGAAGCACTAAAACCAGAGAGCAAGGCAAACATGTGACAGGAAAGCACCTTAGTCAAGTGTAGGGAATAGTTGCCAAGAGACAAAGATGTGAAGCAGTTCAGTAACACACCATACCCTGCTCTCCAAAGTCTTTTCTAGTTTCTTTTCTTCCAACTCCAGAAAAACAGGGTTGACTCCTATCCCTGACACTGCTGTGATGAGGGGCAGTAATGATGCATTCCTGGAGGCTCCACATGCACCTTTGCAGAGG